ACTGTTGTAACTAACTTGGCAGGCTGGTTTGCTGCCAAGGTTTGTTTGAGTTGCTGCCAAGGTCCTTATCTGTTTGTTTGCTTGGCTTTCAGCCACCGAGATTTGGGTCTTATTATTAAAGGACATTCCAGTTAAGCTTGGCATCCGTTACTGGACGGAGGAGGGGGTCAGAACAGGTTGCTATGGTTATTATTATTCATAGTATTACTACTGAATGTAATGATCTTCATCTAGGAAATATTTGGAGGTCAATGAGCAAATGAAATTTCATGACAGGGTGGATGGCAGTGCGAGAAAGACCTTAGATAAGAGATGATGCAGCCCTCAGCTGTATAGTAGGCAGAGAAAGAAACTGGGAAGAAACCTCCCTAACTTCTCAGAGGAAACACAGGCTCTTTCAGGCTTGCAAATGTTGACGTACAATAAAGTAAGAGTTGCCCCAATAAAAGAGAATATTTGTAGCTCAGGATTGAAATGCAGGGTCCTTGGTGCTCTCTGAGCTTGGTTATTTCTTGCAAACAAGAGTAACTTGATCACTTGGACCCCTAAGAGTAACTCAACTCATCATAATCATTATCATCCCAACAACTGGAGCAATTAATAGCATTACCTGTGAGAGGGATCTTAGAGTCTTAGTGGACAACCAGCTAAACATGACCCAACAGTGTGTGGCGGCAGCCAAAAAAGCCAACGCAATCCTAAGTTGCATTAACAGAGGGATTCAATCAAGATCAAGGGTGGTACTAATACCACTCTGTAAAGCCATAGTAAGACCACACCTAGAGTACTGCATCCAGTTTTGATCACCACGCTATAAAACAAGATGTTGAGACTCTGGAAAGAATGCAAAGAAGAGCAACCAGGATGATTAGGGGGCTGGAGGCTAAAACATAACGATGAACAATTGCAAGAATTGGGTTTGTCTAGTGAAGAGAAGGACCAGGGGAGACATGATAGCAGACCTCCAATATTTGAGGGGCTGCCACAGAGAGGAGGGAGGTCACGCTATTTTCCAAAGCACCTGAAGGCCAGACAAGGAATAATGGATGGAAACTGATCAAGGATAAATTCAACCTGGAAATAGAGAGGGATTTCCTGACAGGGAGAACAATCAATCCATGGAACAGAAGTTGCCTTGAGAAGTTGTGGTGGCTTCATCACTGGAGGCTTCCAAGAAGAGACTGGACTGCCATCTGTCAAAAAATGGTGTAGGATCTCCTGCTTGAGCAGGGGGTTGGGCTAGATGACCTACAAGGTCCGTTCCAACTCTGTTGATCTGCATCTAACTCCCGTCAGAGAAAAATGAGCAGCCCAACCATTTGACCATGAAGATCTCGTTCGTTGAAGGAATCTTCATCCTTGAGAAGAGTCCTTGCAATTTAAGCCACCGCCAGCTGGCTCTACTCCCTGAAGACCAGGGAGAACGCTGGCTTGGTCTCAACACTCATTGGAAGGAGGTGAAGCAGAGCCGAGCCTGATCCTAAAGATGCTGCTGGTTCCCCTACCCTGCTAGTTTTTCTGAAAGCTACAATGATGTCCCAGAACTGAACCCTTGGCATGGAATCCGAGCAGATGCTCTGGTGTTACTTACCTTGCAGGGACAGGAGTACCAGCACCCAGACCCAAGGAAGGCAAGTCATCGTGAGGTGATGCCTGATCAACTTCCCCTCCACTTTCGATCTCAGGGGTTTGCTGACGACTTCTCCTTTTCAACAGAGCAGCACAAGCCATGTACCATGACTTCATCAGGGGTAGGTCGGCCCTCTTCCTCTTGACTCCTTCTCCCCTCCCTCCCCCGTATCTTCACAGTTCCCTTCGCGGCAAGGGACAAGTGATCTCCAGGCTTGTGGGTGGGGAGATCTGCACCTCTCTTTAGACTGCTCCAAGCTTCACTTTGTGGTGAATGCTGAAGCGCAGCTCAACCACGAGTTCTTGCAAGGCGCCTCGTGCATGCATCTCATAGCTTTCTGGCGGTGTTCTGACCGAGGCTTCACAAGAGCATGAAGCAAACTCCTTGTCCCAACAAAAAAAAACCTTTTGTTAATTGACTGTGAATTCTGCTCATTCACATCCAGCAAAGTCTTTCGAGGGAGGATTTATAATCACTGCCCTTATCTGGCTTGGAGAGCTGCCAGGTCGATATCTGCAAAACTTGGCAAGGAGCCTCAGAGAGTCACAAATCAATTAAGTGAAGTAATTGTCTCCTGCAAACTCCACTCCCCTTTTGCTCCTCTTTTATTTTTTCTGAGAGGGGCCATTCATCGTCCACCTGTGGCCTTACTTCCAAGTCGACCCCTTTTCTTTAGCTGTTCCCAGTGTGCGCATGTGCAGAGCTGCCAGAAGAAAAGAACAGCTCAGAAATCAGGGTAGGCTTGGGAGTAAAGCGACAGGTGGAAGGTGAATGGCCCCTCCCATAGGAAATAAAAGAGGAGCAAAAAGGGAGTGGAGTTTGCAGGAGACAATGCGTTCGCTTAATTAGTTCGTGACTCCCTGAGGCTCCTTGCCAAGTTTTGCAGATATCGGCCTATCAATTCTCCAAGCCAGATACGGTCTGTGACTGTAAATCCTCCCTCGAAAGACGTTGCTGGATGTGAATGAGCAGAATTCACAGTCAATTAATAAAAGGTTTTTTTTTGTTGGGACCAGGAGTTTGCTTCATGTTCTCGGGAAGCCTCGTTCAGAACAAGACCTATACTTGTTATCTTGTACATGTTTAACAAACCAACCAATCAACCAACCAACCAACAAATAAAACTTTGGCAGAAATTGTGCACCCTGACAATGCCCCGTGGGACAGCAACGTCTTCTACCAATGACTCTCAAAGTTAAATGCTGGCCCACATCTGCTCCAAGTGTTCCTTCCCTC